GCGTCAAAAACAGCATAATGCTTCTTGATCTCTGCCTCTGCTTTCTCAGCAACAGCATCAACCTTGTCCTCATGCTTCTCATAGAGCACAGGGACAGTATGCAGTAATACAAAAACTGCATGCAGAGAAAAAGGGAGGATGCAAATTAGAATAAAATAAGCAGATATGGTCACAATGAGCATTGAAAAATATGAAAGTCCCAGTTAGCAAAATTAAAACTAATTACTTACCTATGTAAAACAAGGTGAGGAAGTTCCAGATATTCCCCAATATAGAAACAATCCACAAGCCAACAATGACCTGCAAGTACAATGTCAAATATTTAACATCAATACTGTGAGAAACATAAAACTCATATACATGAACCAATGAGAAGAAACTTGAGCTTAAAAGAACTATCAAGCTATGGACTTCAGTTATAAAGCTAGATGCACATACAACAAGGAACTTCTTCAAGTCTTTCCCAGATGCAATATCCCGTAGGATCTCAAGGGCCCTATTGATTTCAATCCTCAATGCAGATGCAACACTAAGGACAATATCCTTAGGTAGAACAACTTCTGGAATGTGAGGTGGAGCCCTGGTCACAGATTTCAATGTGAATTTTCGCGTAAATATTAGATGGACAATTAACTAAAGATTAATAAAATATACATACGTGTTGATGAACGCCGATGCATTGGACCACAGGAAAAGTACTGCTACAGCAACAATTAGAATATGGCAAACAAGTGTGAGCAAGTGGTATTCAAGCAACTCAAAAAGCGCCCAGATAACAGTGGCAAAACCAAGCACGCCAGCTGTAACTTTCTTGTCCCGCCATAGGAAAACGTCAGCGGCTGTCATTCATAGGAAATACTTAGTGTATTTACATAAACAAGCAAATACAAAGAGAGAAGGCTTCTGTAAAAGCACACAGATTTGGTGGTCACTGATGCATAGAAGATAAGGAGTTTGGCTTTCCAAGCTAAAGCAAATAAACAAGTCATTAATGTAAAACTTAATAACTTTGCAAAGCCGCACCCAAGGGTGTGGCCTAGCAGGTCAATGAAGTGGTTGAGAACTATTAAGTCTTAGGTTCAAATCCCACTGGAGACAAAAAAAAATAGGTAACTTCGCAAAGTCTCACTGTATCTCAACACGATGAATCAAACTCAGAGAAAAGCAGGTGCAGAAAAGAAAGAGCTCCATCCTTCAACTATAAAAAGAAACAGCTCCGTCATTTTCAAATCATTCTTCATGTATAAATTCAACTCTTCAGCAGGAAATTACTTAGCCCTCAAATACGTCTCAGATATTTTAATGAAGCTATCATACCGCCTAAAGTTTTTGCACTTTCATCCTTGGCTTTTTCCTTCGGCCAGTACAAAAAATCCATGTTGCGAAAGTCAGGTTTCGTACCATATATTCTCTTATTCTAAAGAAAATTTAAAGCTTAAGTGGTCACAATCCTTTGTCTATATTGTTATTCCTAGGGTCCAATATGAGCAAAAATGAAAATTGCAAAAAGTGCTCATATATATGAAATATTCTTGTGGATGCAAAACTCCGCTCCACTTTGAACCAAAGAACATTTTATATCACTTAGCAACACTCGAATAACGAGGAGACGGACGAATTAACAATTAAATAACCTAGGAAAAAGATCCAAATTTTGAAGCAAACTGTGATGAAACTCAAATCGATATATCAGTTCAACATCGAGAAACCAAAAATAAATTCAATAAAGGATTAAGTTATTCTAAGAAAATAAAAATACAAAAAACTCTCACCTGATCAAAACAAGTGATTCAATAGGAACTTCAGAGATAAAGATATTTATATTGTAAACGCTATCGACTTGATTTACACAATCAATATTGGTCCTATTAATTCAAATGGGGTTTATTTTCAGAATCTGGAAGTAAGCCAATGATAAATTAATTTGTTGGAAATACATATAAACATGAATCAAAATCACAGACATTCTGAATAACCTACATGTATCTGCATTTAAAATAAATACTGAGAGAGATTTGAGTAATGTACGTTTTCCACCGCCTAGAACCTTGTGGACGGGCTTTTCTCTACCGAAAAGACGGTAGATCTTAGTCTTAACAGCGTTAACCGGCGATTTTTTACCCTTGTCGTCATCAGAATCCGACGAATAATCGTGGCTGTGAAACTTATCGTTGACCTTGTCCGTTACCGAATCAACAAATGAGTCGTTCTCGCCGGCGTGATCGGCCATCGCGTTGACCTCCGATCTCAGAACGGTTCGCCGCCGGCAATGGGGATGTTTATGCTGTTACGAAAGGGCGCTTTTTGAGTGCGAGAGATTTTCCTGTCGCTTGAATATGAGTGGGAATGATGAAATATCAAAATGCCTTAAATAAGAGAGTTACGAGCCTGAGGCTTGCTACCGAACCTGCTGGCTCGTAAATAACGCAAATTAATGAACGGAAATTATCTTTTTATGTTTCGAGAAAATTGATTGTTGGAATTGTAGGACAAAAAACCCCTATATTTTAACTTCTTCGTATTAATTTAAGAGTGAAAAAGAATAACATATTCATACTTATTTACAAGTAAATATAAATCAATTGAATGGAGAGGAACATATGTGAATACTTATTTCCGCCTAATGTTAATATAGTTAAAATTAATTTAGTAAATTGAGAATCTATTAATTAATTCTAATTAAGTGTCGATTATTTTGAGCAATAATGAAGTATTTGAATAAAGTAAAGAAGTCTTTATAAATACTTATTTTAAAATTAAATAATAAAAATAAGTCATAACTCATAAATTAGAAATAAGTCAATTAAATCAGGCTCACAAAATATATGCACAAACGCATATTCGCTTCATCAAATTTCACTATATTAGAAATAAATATTCATTTTTGTTTATTTAATTTAAAAAATAATAATTTATTCTTAATGTATGTTGATTATTAGTTATAATCATTTATAAATATATATTTTTTAAAGCATTGAATATATTGATTATTATATTCAAAAACTGATATATTCAAATTGTCATTTTATTTAAGAGGAGTACTAAATGGACCGAGTATCCTAGTAACTCAATTAATTAAGTATTGAGACTCTCACTTTATTGAGAAAAGATTTTATTCTCCACCTAATAATCAACTCCCTTTTTTCATCACATGTATCTATTTTGGCATACATAGTGGCTTGATAGTTGATACAAACGCTTTATCTATAACCCTCTGCGTTATAAAAAAGAAAAAAATAAAGTTTTCCTATTCCACTTACTTTGCGCGAGTATAAACGGCAGAACGAATTGAGACTTTAGGGAAATGCTCTCTTCACGGCGTCAATTGAGACGTAACCGAGTCTTTTTCTTCCTATAATAATAACAATAATGATAATGCCTAATAATTTGGCATGTGTGAACGTTTTCTTTGTTTAATCACACCAGTTACAAATATCATTAATATTATATAAACTTTCACATATAGTCACTTAAAAATAATTAATTATTTTTCATAACTATAGTTTGATAATTATAATTTGTAGTTATATGTTATATGGAGGAGAAAGGCAAGTGAGATTAAGAGAGACAAGGGGGGAGGGGAAAAGTGGGAAAAAACTGGATTGTATATGTATAATAGTTAGATGATTTTATATTATACATAGTATTTGTATATATGACAAGAGAGATAGGGAGAGGGAGGAGAGAGGAGACTGGAAGAGAGAGGAGGGGGTGGAGGGGCGAAGGTGGAGAAAAGTGAATTGAATATGTATATTAGTTAGATAATTGTATATTATACATAGTATTTGTATATATATGGCAAGAGAGATTGGGAGAGGGAGGAGAGAGGCGAGCTAGATTGGGAGAGGTAGGAGAGAGGCGAGCTAGATTGGGAGAGAGAGGAGGGGGGAGGGAGGAAAGTGGGAGAAAAGTGAATTGTATATGTATAATAGTTAGATAATTCTATATTATACATAGAATTTGTATATATGGCAAGAGAGATTGGGAGAGAGAGGAGAGAGGCGAGTGAGATTGGAAGAGGGAGGAGAGAGGCAAGCGAGATTGGGAGAGGAAGGAGAGAGGCGAGAGAGAGAGGGCAGAGAGTGGGAGAGAGGTGAATTGTATATGTATATAATTGTATATTATACATATACATTTGTATATAGGGCAAGCGAGATTGGGAGAGGGAGGAGAGAGGAGAGCGAGATTGGGAGAGGAGGAGAGAGGCGAGCGAGATAGAGCATAGAGTGAGAGAGAGGTGAATTGTATATGTATATAAGTTAAATAATTGTATATTATACAGATGTTTTTGTATATTCTGACGAATTATACATATACAAACATAACTAATTATACAAATTCAAAGTCAGGCCACGTAATTAATATATAATGTTAGTCGTGAGTGGTAATTATAACAAATTATATCTATGGTGAGTAATTAAATATATAAATTTGCTTTATTGCGTAATTTTCCCTTAATCTTTTCACTTATTCCTGCCTAATTTTAATTTTGGTGAAAGTAAACATCACTCGAGCAAATATTTTGGAGTTTCTTGAATATGCTGTCAAGACTCCATATTTTTAATCAATGCTAATATTAATGCACTTTTATCAGACTACCCTGCATGCTATGTTCATTTTAATGCACAAAGTTGTTTTATATAGAGGATAGGCTTCTTGGTGGAGGAAACATCTTATGATGATTCTACTGTACTATTTTGATGCACATGCAGACAGAAGGATTATAGTTTTACCAAAATTACAATATCACGTCACTAACTAATGTCCAACTGCAAATGATGCAATCAGACAAAGGGATAACGAGTGATTATGCAAAAGATAATATTATGTTGAAATTCAATGTTACATTGATCACGATTTAAATGAATAGCTGATAAAGTGTTAAGAATATCAAATGAGATGATATTTCGTTAAATGATCTTTGAGCATGCATGCAATGCTTACCTCATGACATGAAATTTTATTTCACTGTTAGAGTTATTACGGCCAATACAGAAGCATGGAGAACGCAAGAAATGGTATATCTAGAGAACAGAATAGCCAAGCCTTAATGTGGCGAACTGTGAAAGTTCACAAGGAAATTGACATATCCCATAGATCAAAATTTCCATTAGCCCATCTTACACTAGAAACTATGGACAAGTTCTACGACAACCAAGTACCAAGAATGAAGAGCAAAAAGGAAAATAAGAAAATAGTCACTGGATTTCCTAGTGTTCCCATTGCTTCAGCTCCATGCCATCTGGAGGGCTTCCTTCCACCTTCTTTGTACCAACCTTATTCCAGTTTGTGGACAGAACAGTCCCATTAGATTCCACCTGTGAGGCACAACACAGATTGAAAATGAACTTTTACTTGCTCTATTAGTGCGATAAAGGCAAGCAAGAACTGAAGCAGCCTCTTATTGTGAGTCAGTGAAAGGGAGAAAAGGAATTAAGACTCACAGATTCCCATCTATGTCGAGAAAGCTTTTTTGTTTGGTTAATTCATACTTTTTTAGTCACATGTCCCCATAAAGAAAACCCCTCCCTCCCAGACCCCTTTTCTAGACTAATGACAAATCTAACATTATGTATTCAACGAGCAATGCACTTACAAATGATTTCATCATGGCTCTTCTTGCATCATCATCGCCGTCTTTGTAAATATCTTGGAAAAACTTGTTCAGTGCTGCATCTCCCTCCAATTTTTCTTCTTTTTCCTGTGTTGGAATTCTGACCTCCGTTAATCACTTAAGGAACACGTATGACTTATGTGTTACTTAATATATTAATGTTCAATGTTTGAGCAAGACAGTAAATAAAACACCCAGCAGTATTTAACTTACAGTAAAACAAACTTTGAACTACAAACGACTACACAATTATGTAACCAAAAGGAATTATAAACTGTAATTCCTTTACTAAAAACACAAACTCCCAAGGCCTATGTTCCTAGTAAATCTCCAAGTTGCACCAACTAGAAAATCAAACAACACTGGCTAAACAACCTACACACAACTTCACTCAATCTCACCAAACAACTCTTTCTAACTTTCTTCGCAGCACCTTAGAAAATTCACTCAAAATCCTGGAATACAGACTACCGACAAATGACAAAAACTAAACAGTGAGGACTATTCATCAAGGATGTATAACAAAGACCAGCTAAAACTACCAATACCTCCTTTTTCACTTGAGCCTCTAGTTTATCCCAGTCCTTGCATTTCATTTTAGAGGAAGGGTAGCTAGGCTTATGGCTGTCTGTAAAATGCAGAAACAGAAAGTAAGCTTAGCATCAGAAGATGTCATACGACACAACATGTAAAGGAAGTCATTGGTAATTTCTCCATAATTGCAGAGAAGAACTTGAACTACTAAAACGAATGAAGATAATGAACACAGAGCAAAGGGAAGGGGGCAGCAGCCTGTCTGCAAGCCAGAAATATTTTGTTTACAAGTATGTGAAAGGTACCTGATGACACATTTGGCCTCTGTACTACAGCAATTTCCCCAGTATACTCGAGGCATTTCCAGTGTATAGATTCAGCTTTAGCAAGTCGAATCTCTATTTTTGTAGACATAACTTCATATTTGCATTTTTGAGGTATTATCTACATATTGGAAAAGGACCACCAACAGATCACAGGTTATGTGTCATAAACAGCCGATGCTTCAGACACTATAAAAAATGAAAACCATCACAATATACATAACCTGAGTTACTTGTGTAAACTCTAGGCAACAACCAATATTACCAATCTATCATTTACTTAGAGACATCATGTGTACTGAAAAATGTTAGATATATCTTTTAAGTTCAATCTCACCTTACCGAACAACCTAGGCTGGAAAGAGTACGCAGCTTCGCCTGGTATATCAATGCTAACACTAAGCTGAAAAAAAACCAACGGAAAAGCAGAATATGATCCATCAGTCGATTATAGAACAAAAGATATCTCAAAGAGATAAATGACAAAACATACTATTTGTTCGCCAAAGTCAACTGAAACATTCTCGACAGGTATGCCCTTGGCAAATATAGTTACCACCGCCTCCTCCGGTTTCTGATAGAATTCATGCCTGCAGTTAATTTATATTAGACCTCCATAAACTCTTGGGGACTCAACCAGAATTATGCAGAAAATCACATCTTCTTATATTAAAAAAGCATTAAATATCTTCTAGAGTTATATTTGGTATAGTCTAATGCTTAAAATCCTAGCTGTACTTTGGTTGGACAGCAGGTGTTCCTTCATACGGTAAGTTGAAAGCCAGTTGAGTCTCTTTTGGAACAGCAGCAACATTATCCAATGACATTGATCCAAAGGAAGGGACAATACTTTCTGTGGTCTCAACTGTTGCACACTTAGGCAATTCTCCAGCTTCCTCTGAATATAGTCAGCAAGCACCACCAATTATTCATAACAAGACTCATATAGTTTCAAGATTTTGGCAATCAATCTTAAATAGATATTAATGGAGCCCATGACAAGCAGAGAGGAAACATTTGAGATATCTCTTCGTAACTTTCCGGTGACTGAGTTAGCCACCACAAGATTACCATAGCCACTAAAACTGCAGAGTTTCCAACTAAGCAAGTACAGTTGTAAGCTAATCCCAGTTCCCCACACTAAGCTAGTAAACAAAAGATATTTCTGACATTCATGTTACACATATGAATAAGACAACAAATAAACGATCAAATATTTCTTCTCTTTTCATTCAACTAAATCACAACCGGACTTAGAGCATCACAATAATACAAGGTTTTCAGTAAAATAGTTCACCATGATAAGTTACAGACAAGAACAGCTTCAGTTTATATTAAACATTAAGCAGAAATCTTGTCCTTGAAGAAGATACAATATGCATTAAAATATATTAACAAGTCAGCAAGGATGGAATGCTTTGATTCTTGAATTGACAGTGTTTGTGCAAATTGTCAGGAATTCAACTCAAAAAGCAAAATCTTACTTGTAATATGTTCATCACATTCGTTGATTAACCTAGTGAATCTTGATTCTCCTGGTGCTAAAGAAGCACCAATTTCTAGAGTTTCCTTTGCAGTTTGGTACTCTTCAAGCTTCATACAGGCCAAACTGTAAGTGTGAACCGGAAAATCAATTCAACGACATCATAAAAGTAAGGCCAGGAGTTACAATGGCATAGAAATGCAACGTCAGCTGGGTTTGATGTTAGCGCTTGAACATTACCAGCTCAAGAAAACAAGACCATAACATGTGAAATTAAACGTTTTTTAAATCTCACTACAATCCTATCCCAATCATAATATAAGTGTATTAACACGTGAACTTATTTTAAAAAGAACACGGCCCTGCACCAAACAATAAAGCCATAGAAAACTAAATCCAGTGGAGAACTCTAAACAAGATAACGTCATCGTCACAAAGAAGCATACCAATAGAAATGATTGATATACTCACCCCTTGCGCATATATGCTTTTGCCGTTGACGGATCTAACTCAATCGCCTTGTTTGAATCAGAAAAAGCTTCTGCTCAAAATTAATCACAATCACAAAAATACTTGGAACAAATGCATGCCATAGATATCCATTTGTTTACGCAACCAAAAGAAAAAACAAAAAACAGAGTAGGCATTTGTTTGTCCTTGTTACCGAGAATGCAAAGGGATCATATTAACAAATAAGTTACCAGTGAAGTTACGGAGTTTGATATTGGCCTGAGCACGGTCAGCAAAAAGGTCGGCATTATTAGGAGTAATAGCAATGGCTTGAGAGTAGAGGTCAACGGCGAGCTCAAAGTGGTCGTCGATGAATGCTTCGTTAGCTTTAGTTACGAGATCGGACGCCATGGATGAGATGAGAAGAAGTTTCTTGAACAAGAGAGGGAAAAGGGATGTTACAGAATGGATGATTAATGGAATTGGAGGGGATTTTAAAAGATGATTATTGGAATATTTAAAGACTGTAAACAGGTTTATGTACAGCTCAAAGTCTTCGTTTACTTTGGAACACTTTAAACTAGTATAAAATTAAAAATATTTATATTACATAGTAATTTTCTATTATGTACGTATATTATATCATATAGTACATTTATATCTACTAGTTTAATTTTATAATAGTTTAAATATCTATTTATATACACTCAAAACTAAAAAGCATTGTTAAATCAAGTTAAATATCATTTTATATATTATCTCTAATTAAAAATTACAACTTCATAGTATTTGAATGAGTCGTGTCTATTGAGCTATTATTGAATCGGTCCAACTATGAGTCAAATGGTGAAATTTTTTACATTTTTTGGTAAAGTAGGTACTTACTTCCTTACGACATTATTCGAATTTTAAGATTTCAATAAATTTATTTTTAATAGTAATTAATTATTATGATTTATAATAGTTTTTACGTTATTTAAAATATATAAAATTCGTTTCAAAAAAATTAAGGATTTAATTCGCAAATCTTAACCAAACTTAAATGGGCAACTTTCACATATAGCAAACAAAAAATTCATATTTGTATAATATAGCAAACGTTGCATAATTGCGCTCCATAGCAAATATAAAAACTGTATAATTCGCTAAACATATACAAGTGTATAATTCGCTGGCCTAAATTGTATAATTCGCTGGCCTATTTCGTTGCAATTGTATAATTTGCTTTGTATATAGTTGAATCGAATTAAAATGTATGTATATTGCATAATTATAAGTTTATAGCAAAAAGATATATGTTTTTCTCGCTTTATACAAAAACAGAAACACAATATATACACTTCTGTTGTATAAAGCTAGAGAAAATTATATTTCACTGCAATTGTATAATTCGCAATTGTATAATTCGTTGACCTTTTTCTCTGCAATTTTTGAAGTAAAACGTTTGTAAATTGTATAATTAAGTGTATACCATGAAGATATACATTTTTGCATGTGTATATACAATTTTCTCTCGCTTTATACAAAACAGAAACAGAATTATGCACTTCTGTGTATAAAGCGAGAGAGGCGAGCGAGAATGGAGAGTGGCGAGCGAGATTCCTGGGAGAGAGACGCTGGCAAATTTTAGATAATGTTTGCTATGGAGCACAATTAAATCAAACCCTATGTCACGACCCAAATCGAGCCGTGAGTGGCACCCACATTTATCCTCCTATGTGAGCGAACCAACCAATCTAAACCCCATCATTTCAAACATAATAGATAGAAAAACAATGCGGAAGACTTAAAACTCATTAACAAAATCAATAATCAACTTCTAAAACTCAAACTTATCATTTCCCCAAAATCTGGAAGTCATCATCACAAGAACATCTATCTTCAAATTACTAAAGCTAAGAGTATCTAAGAAACTAAACATAAATAATAGCTAGTCTATGCCAGAACTTCAAGGCATCAAGACAT